AGGAGTTGAAGATCTTCCAACTTAGTTTGTATCTTCCCCACCAGACCCTTGCTCATTCTAGCCATGTTTATTCCTCCATTAACTGTAACACATCGAAGCTGATTCCACTGAAGGTTATAGCCTTGCAATGTTTTCTGCACTATCGTGAAAATGTTTTCTCCATTTGTTGTTGTTCCGTGCATGCTGCAAATGGATGCCAACTCTTCTGTGATCTGAAAGTCCAAATTAACACCACGAATGAACATGAGAAGTTGTGACGTACTCGAGAGATCAGTAGACTCATCCAGCACCAGAGAATACCACAAGAAGTTCCTAGCTTTCTCGCGTATCTGTAACACTATGTTCTCTCCAAGTTCTTCTGTTCTCCGCATAACTGAACTTGCTGAAAGGTTGATACTTCCAAACAAATCGGCTTTCTCGGGACACAAGTCATTTGCTGCTTCCATCATACACTCTTTAATGAAGTTGCCGTCAGTAAACAGTTTTCCTCGCTCTGCCACTATTTTGTAACTTTACGAGTGACAGATTCATTTTCAGCAAACATTCTTGTGAAGAGATTCCTTTGAGATTCCGAAGTATGTTTCATGAACTCAAATTTCTCAGAATGCAACTTTCCAGAAAACTTCGAATATGTTGACAGATGTTTTGTTTCATAGTGATGCCGAAGATTGTACTCTTTCAAAATGGCAACACTTTCGCTGCATATCATGCAACTAGCTTTTTGGTTGTTTGTTTCCACAAAGAAATACTTTTCTCCCCATTCTTCATTGAAAAGGCGACACTCAGCATCTACTTTTCTTTTCGTAGTAGTCATAATGATGGTTGAAAAAAACAGGATCTGAAAATGAAAAACAATTGTTTATTTACACATTGAATAGTCTACCATAAAAGTTTTAGAAAAATAATAATTTTTCAAAATTTTTTGACATATATATAAACATGACAAACCAAATGTAAATAGTTCATGACATCAAATTACGTTATTACGTAATTGGTTTAAATTTTTTTCACGATAAGTTATTTGATTAAACAATTTTTATAATTTGCCAATGTATTAAAATTTATTATGTAAGTTAATTAGAAGAGCTTCATGAAAAAATAATTAAGATCATATTTAATAAAAATATTAAGAATCTTAATAGGCAAATATAGTATTAAGAATTTGATACCAATTTAATTAAAATCTTCGTTAATTTAATTAAGTCATTTTTTGAGTGTATAGCGATTAAAATATAGGGCTTAAATAAATATCAAACTTTGAAAATATTATATGCTTACCTCTTGTGAGCTCTTTCAACACTCAAATATGCAAAACATATGACATAATTCACTGAAGTCAGTCCCTTTTATATACGGCACTCTTCAAACCAGTTTAAACACGGCAATGCAAGTTAAAACACGATCGCTGCAGCGGGCTCATAATCGCTTTTCTCGGAAACTTCATTGCAGGTACTTAAACAAAAAGCGCTCTGATATCCAAAGTCACAAAAAGTCGCCTGTTCGGGTTTAATCCGTGTATTGAACCAGTGTATTGTACAACACACAAATATATGTAGAAGCACACACACGTCTTCTCTATCACAAAGTTGTGTAAACACGCACACACTCGTCACACTACTTGTATCAACTGCGTGTAAGCATTGTATCGTCTTACAACAATGCACGCAGAGGCGACCGCAGGAATGAACTCTCATTGCAGGTACTTACAAAAAAAATGCTCTGATATCCAAAGTTGCAAAAAGTCGCCGAATTTTTTATTTCACTGATTTTCCTAAAACTTCTATTACTGTCAGATGCAAAAATTCAGATTGGACAAATTTGGACATTTTTCCTTACACTTATTTTAATTTTTTCTACATAGTAAGTTTATCTACAATCTATGATATTTCAACATAAATAATTATATTTTAGCTCATTTGTGGTACAGTGCAGTGGCAGGACAGACGAACTGACCTAGCGGGCCAAAGTTTAGTGACCCCTGTCTCAATAGATGGAGAAAAAATTAAGAAAAAATACTTGGAAGTTCAGTTATCTCTCAATAGATGGAGAAAAAATGCT